CCCCCCCCCTTCCCCTTTCCTTTTGAAACGTAGCCTGGGCCGGGGAAAACCCGGCATGTCGCTCCGTCCCGGCATTGTAAGGATGCGGGTTCAATGGTCTAACGGCTACCGCATGCGGTTACATGAGTACTCCCCCACCCCCCCTCCATCCTTCCTCCGTGACGAAACCCGTAATGTTGATCATGGTCCCGACAGTGGTCTCTCGGGGCAGTGGTGGCGGAGCTGGTGACGGGACAGGTGCTCCTCCAAAGCGAGTCTATCCAGGTGGGGCGTTCAGTTTGAAAGCGGGTCGATTGTCGTCTGCTGGACCGACGAGGGGATTGGCTGCGATGGGCCCTTTTGCCGCTTCTTTCACAGACAAGAGAGGGCGAGGAAACAAGCAATACCTCGTGCCTCGCGCGGAGTAGTACGTGGAGGGTAGTAACACGGGGGGAAAACTTGTAAGCGTAAGCAGAAGGGACAAAGAGAAAGACGTCGGTGTTTGGTAGACACGCGGTGTGGGATCTGTGGAGTAAAAGGGGGACTGTCGTTGTGGTTTCGAGGGGGCCCGGCGTGTATTTTTCCGTGGGACAAGAAGGGGGGGGCGGCAGTTCTCGAGTGGCCCCGGCGAAGCATTCGCGGGTTTCGCGGAGGGAGCGGCGGGGATGCAGGGAAAGATCGAACCGGTAGACGATCGTCAAGCCCGGTGCAGCGAGGGAGGCATGTGATGTGGCCGGTTGTCACACCGTGTCTAAGCCGCCTCTCTACCGAGGTGTCGTAGTGTTAGTTTTTATTTCTATGCAAGCACAGGAAGACAAGACAAGCCTCTCTTTTCTTTTTTCGTCCCTCGATCCGGATCGGATGTGCTCTGAGCAAGGCCGGAAGGTTTGGAAGAAGCTGTGCATGGGTACTTAATGACTTGACCTCTGTTGCCCTCCGTGTACTTTCCGCCCCCCCTCCTCGGTAGACTATGCTTGCGCGCATCCAGGGTATCATCGGGCCCTTTCCTCGCTGGATGTTGGTTGAAGGGGAAGAGGCGACCAAGTACTTCACCCCAGAGGGCTACGTGTACCAGAGGATGGACGATGGTTCATGTGAGACTTACAAAAGGCTGCCGACCTGCTCTAGTGTCACCATCCATCAAGTCTGTACCGCTAGGCTCGTATGTATCATCGGGACCCCTTTTGAGAGTCAAACGCATACGATGGGTTATTTATTGTTAGCTTTCCGTCTCCGTTTTGATCGAAGTGTCAATAAACCGCTGCGTGTGTTATTAGGGTGGAGCGACAACAAGTGCAGTGTGACCCGGAAGTGGGGTTGTCGAGGCCCTTGTTGGATGCTTTGGGAGAGCCGTGCTCCTTAGAGTTGCCATCCCACGAAAGTACACGCGAGATGGCAAGCTCTCTTTGGTGATGTTGTCCTGCTGCCAAGAGGGGCCTTGTTGGTCCCTTGACGTACGTTACCGTGCGCTGCAAGGAGTCACTCAATCGACGTACCCCCTTCGCAAGGGTATTTTTTACGAGGAGGGTTTCTACCATGGACGCAACGCATTCCTCCCGCCCTCAACTCTATGGACTGAGAGATTGCGGTCGCAGTTGACATCTGAGTATACCCCCCCCCCCCCCCCC